TCGGAGCAGTCCGGACCTCACTGGAGTTGTGCATATTTATGAAGAGCTGAAGAGGAAAGGAATTGAGTTTCCTATGGCAGATCTGGATGCGCTGTCTCCTATACACACGCCGCAGAGGGTAAGGGTTACCGCTGCCAGTCATCTTACTATAGTTGTAACGCTAGATTGATATTGAAGTCAGAAGGTTTTTAAGTTATTTCAAATGCTGATAATTCACTTACAATGAAAATTTTAATTTTAGTTTCCTACAGAATCAGCTGGTCCCCTGAGCACTGGCCCTGATAGCCTGTTTTAGGGTGGCTCCTCTACTTTGCAGGGTCCTAGGGTGCCACCCTTGTGTGTGCACTGCTAGTAACCTTTGTGTGTCTCCCGAATATAACTGTTGATCCTGCCAGAACTTCCTGTGCTCTCTGCCTGTGCTCTCTGCCTGTGCTGCACTCTTATTAGTGGCTTTGTTTTCAACTATTTTTAAGGACTATAGAAATTCTCCCTTTTTATGTTATGGAGATGAGGAGAGGCAGGGGCCTAGCATGGGGGGGACAGGGTTTTTTTTATTCTGCACCCAGCTCAGAATACAAACATTAGGAGCAGGGGCAGACTGACAGTTCCTGTGTGCCAGCGGGAGCGCGGCCAGGAGGGGGCCCGCCACTGGCTGAACTACTGCCGTCGGAGACCCTACCCATTGTGCATGCAGCATGATGTCCTGCTTGGGGAGGCGCTCAATGAGGACTCACTCCCCAGGCCACTGCCAAGGAGAAGGTCCTGGAGAAGCTGCTGATTCTGCAGAAAACTAAAACTTTTAAATAGGGATGCACCGATACTATTTTTTCGGTACAAGTACCGATATTTTTTTTCCTGGTAATCGCCGGTACTGAATACCGGAAGTCCCATTAAAGGGGTTCTAAACCATCCGGTTTGTTTTGCCTATATCTACTGCTAGCAAGCAGTAGATATAGGCAAGAAGTTTAAAAAAAACAAAAACGCTTGAAGTGGTTTTAAACTTACCTCGTTATCGCTGCTCGCTCCCGCGCCGAGAATCAGGAACTGCTCGTACGGCCGCAAAGGATCTTGGGGCGGGCGCATGCGCAGTTCCGATTCTCGGCCGGGAGATGAGCAGAGACGCAAGGTAAGTCTATGGACGCGTGCACCCGC